ATTCAAACTGTTTGCTTTGAAAGCTTTTAGCTACAAATATGTTTCATGTAATGTTGAAGGTTTAACTCTCATAGAGCCAATATGTCCTTCAGAAAGAAAAAAAAAATTTTTTTTCCTTGCAGCTTTTAAACTTTGTTTTCAAGTGCTGGAAACTTTGAGAGAATTGCAAAGCAGACCGGAAGGTCAATCAAATCATTCCAACAGACTGAAAACTAAAACACTCTCAGCTCTCTGCTTTTTAATTATCTGATCTGTTGAGCTGATCACCACTTGATTAAAAAATAACAATTAAAAAAAACACAAAGCTGCTTGGTTTACCCTCACAGTTTAACAGTGTTTCTGATAATTTTTTTTTAATAAACAGTAAATCAGTGTTGGATTTGATTGCACTGTTTAAACGTCACCAAGCCTCTCCAGCAGTTTTCACCCTCACTGCCTCTTCTTGCACGAGCACTCAKAGGTTGGTATGAAATGTCTGCTCCGGGACACACACCTGAGCCCTGTTACGCCACAGCTCCAAACAACGACCATCTGCCGCTGCAACAGTTCAGCACCTCACAGGACGTTCCAGACGTTTACACATGGATTATCTACTCATAACCCCCCCCCCCCCCACACACACACACACACACACTGCTGCTTCCCCTCACTCACATCCCCTGTCTGGGGCTCACTGACCACTCTGCTGAGACAATGACCCTAAAAGGAGGATCGCTGAAGGTGATCTGATCCTCACTTTTTCTCAGCCTGTGCTTTATATGCAGCATCAGTGTTCCTCGTGTGTTCTTGGAAATTTAAAGACACATTTTTCATCAAGTCATTTTTTTCTTCTTCTGTAGATTATTTCTGTCAGGAGCCTTGACAAAACAAGAAATGCTGCAATAAGTAAGAATTCTACACTTTCTTTATTTTAAAATTCCATAGTTTTCCACACATTTTTTTTTTTTTATGATTTCAATGTTTGGGCTGTTTTTTTTTTTCTTCCCTTTTTGGTAATGTTTTTTTTAATGGTACGCTTATTACCAATAATTACAAGGTAATAAAAACTGTGATTAAATGGTAATTGCTACCTTATTACCATGTAATTACGTGGTAATTAGGGTACAGTTTTACTATGTAATTAATTGTCTGAAGTAATGTAGCACTTACCTGGTAATGTATTACAATTCACTATGTAACACCTAAAAAAGTAGTAGGTAATTTGGACAGTTTAAAAGTTATATTTTATTGCAATTAGCCACTAACCCCAGAATTTAATTGCATTCTTTTGGTTATAAAGTGTTGAGTTACTATTGAACAGTAATTTGATTGTAGTTACCCAATAAAGGTAGTTTTACTAACAGTAGTTTTTCTTTTGTACCCTAATTACCACGTAATTACATAGTAATAAGGTAGTAATTACCATTTAATTACATTTTTATTACCTTGCAATTACATGGTAATAAGGGTATCATAAAGCGTTACCTTTTTTTCATAAAAAAAAACTGTCAATTTGTTGGCAAATGTTATACCAAGCTACTTATATCTATACATTACAAACATGGCAAAAAAAAAATCTGCACAAAACCTGTACATCAAAGATTGATGATGTGTTTGAAAAAGAAAAAAATTGTATAGGTCTTCTGGACGGGTTCTTCTCTAATGAAACGTTTCGTCTCTCCTCCAAGAGACTTCTTCAGTCTGAGAGTTTCAGGCAAAATTCAGGCTTTTAAGCACTGCCTCCATGTGACTGATACTCACATCACATGGCTATCGTTGACACCTAATTAACACCTATTGTTAACAGGGGGTGGAGTGATACTGGCAATAGCAGCACTGTAGGAGGGGGACAACTGAAAACGGAGGCCTCCACCTCTGTTTAATGATGGACGGTCTTCACAAAAATGGCTTCTTTTACTCCTCTCTCAAACCAACGTTCCTCTCTATCAAGAATGAGAACATCCTCATCTCTGAAAGAGTGACCGCTGGCCTGTAAATGAGTGAAAACTGCAGAGTTCTGTCCATTAGATGCAGCTCATCTAATGGCCAGAACTCTGCAGTTTTCACTCATATACAAACCCCTACAAACCCAGGAGCCAGGGAGAAAGAGAAATCACACACACGACAGGCCCTGGAGCAGTGTGGTTATCCTGACTGGGYTTTCCTGAAAGCAGACAGGAAACACAGACAGGATTCCATGCAACCTTCAGGTGAAAATGAAGACCCCAAACCCAGACCCAAACCAGTGGTTATTCCATATGTTGCGGAGAAACTGAGACGTTTATTTTCTAAACATGATGTCCCAGTGGCTTTCAAACCCCAAAACACATTACGGCAAAGGCTGGTTCACCCCAAAGATCCGGTGCCCGAGCAATGTTGTAAATGCTGTTAAGTGCCAGAAGGACTGCGACCAGTTATACATCGGGGAAACAAAGCAACCACTGTTCAAAACAATGTCCCAACACAGACGAACTACATCTAATGGCCAGAACTCTGCAGTTTTCACTCATTTACAGGCCAGCGGTCACTCTTTCAGAGATGAGGATGTTCTCATTTTTGATAGAGAGGAACGTTGTTTTGAGAGAGGAGTAAAAGAAGCCACTTTAGTGAAGAAAGACCGTCCATCATTAAACAGAGGTAGAGGCCTCCGTTTTCAGTAGTCCCCCTCCTACAGTGCTGCTATTGCCAGTATCACTCCACCCCTGTTAACAATAGGTGTTAATTAGGTGTCAACGATAGCCATGTGATGTATCAGTCACATGGAGGCAGGGCTTAAAAGCCTGAATTTTGCCTGAAACTCTCAGACTGAAGAAGTCTCTTGGAGAAGMGACGAAACGTTTCATTAGAGAAGAACCCGTCCAGAAGACTTATACAATTTTTTTCTTTTTTTTTCTTTCAGAAAACACTTTCTATCCAGGCCTCAGAGGCCTTGTTCCAACCACAGGGAGTTGTTGGAGGCTGAAGTCAACCTGCTGCTGTTACACTTCTGAGCTAAACGAGGGAATGCTGGAGCGGCTTAAGGGGATAGACGTTTATTTTGCATAGTGCTTCATGTCCTCACTGCTGACCTATGAAATGCCTACTATGGTTCAGCAGAGCAAGCTACATTTATAAAAGCTCACATTATCACAGGATGTAGCTGACTTCATTGGTATTTACAGTCTGAACAGCCAGAGGCAGTTTAAAGAGGAGCTTATCTTGTGAAAAAAGGCTAAAGACACGGGTGGCTGAAACCTTGAATTTATATAGCCTGAGGTGGTAAATAAACCCAAAACTAGACATCATGAGGACTGTCCATTTTTAAACACAACCAATGTGAAAACACTGTTACTTCTTTGAACATTTATTTAAAAAAATTGAATTTAACCTTTTAGAAAATACTATAAGAGCTGGAACTGAACCACAATGTAATGCAGCTTTTCACTTATCCAGACCTTAAAAATCTTACTTTTCAAAACATTTTGTTTACACATGCAAACTAGTCATCACTGCGAAACTGGTGATATACCTGTGTAGAATGGTTAAAAGAAATATTTCTTTAAAACAATATTAAAATATCAGCACAGAGAAAAAAAAACATCTAATGTTCTCCATCTGGTCTCATAAAATTTAAGAGCAATTGTGAAGTTGCTGAAATTGAGTTGTTACAAGTATTTGTCTACATTTAAAAATAGGCTTAATCCAGTAAAGTGGCAAATTTGCCAAGTTCTCCTAAAACTAGAATGAATAACAAAACAAGTTCTTAAAATGTCTTCCAATACTAATATTTTCTGATAAACATAGTTTTTCCCTTTTCTCTCAAAACTGACTGAAATCTAATGAGAAAACGTTGAGCTGTTATTGACTAATGGACGCGTTACATTTGGTTATTTTAAACACATTTGGGAAATGTAGGAGCATCTATCAAAATCTACGGTGTCCAGCCAAATGTGTTGAGTAATGACCGATCAGAAGAAGTGAGTGGACCATCAGAGGTTCTGTTTCAGCTGAATCCATCAGGCTGGCCTGGTCCACATCAACCAAGCTGTCCACTCATCATTTACTGAATAATTTATAGACCTTCAGACTACTGGGTCAATGACGCATACAAGGACACCTAATTTTATCCAATCGTTTGTGGTTTCCCCCCACAACCTAAATACCAAGCCTTCCTTAAAATGTTAGTAATACCCTACAAAAGGAAATATTTATCTTACAGATGAGTTTATTGTACTGTTATTTCCATTTTATCTAATCATTCAAACAAAATACAAAGAACATTTGTCGAATTATCTTATATGAATAAAATTCAGTCTTGTCGCCCTTAAAAAGAAAAACCCACTGAATTTGTTTTAATTGTCCACTTCTCCATGACCTCATAAAGTCAGTATTTACCAATTCGTCAGTGTTTAAAGATGTCTATAGTTTAAACTCTGCTCGACATTTTTCTCCAACATGAAACGAAGCGACCTGAATATATTTGTTGCTCCTTAAGATTTTCTGATTATCTATTGTTAAATCATAAAACTATTTTAAATATCCAGGTTAAAAAGTATTTAAAACAAAACTTTTGAAAGCAGGGCCTCAATCTAACCGAAGGATGAATCACTGAACAATATTCTGTGCTTCTTGTGCCCCCTGCTGCTGGAAAAACAAAATCAGGCTTATTTCAGATTAATTCGACTCAATTTAGGATTTTTTTTTCTTTACCACTGTCAAAACCCATGAGAAAATATTAAACATAAGAGAAAAAATTAACATAACAATTTAGTAACTATCGTTTTTAGTACATTGATACGAAAAATATATATTTTCAACTTCAACCAATACTTGGTGAGGTTTTCACCCTTAAGTTTATTTCATGTCATTTTATGTTTGAGTTGACACATTTTTCTTAAGGTTTTGCCACCCTGTGCACAACTACAGCCAAACACTAGAGTTCTGATCTCAATTACTGAACTGAACCAATTTATCATCAATGTTTATCTGCAAATTAATACAGAAAACTGAGTTTTATTTAAAATGACGACAATATCACAATGCTCTTTTTAAAGATTTTATTTCGCAAAGTTCCATAGTGACTATTTTTACTTCTTTTTCTCCACATCCTGCTCAGCTGCCTCTTTGGCTCTCTTGGCACGAATGCCGAAAAGACGAGCGTTTGCTCGGGCCATACGCAGGCTGGCAAATGCCTTGAAGTTCTTCTCATCCTCAGAGATAACCCGGGCCTTCTCCTTCTTGTATACCTGAAGTAAAAACGCATGGAGTTCTCAAATCAGTTTTAACACAAAGCTTAAATAGTATGTTTTGTTACACAGTCTGGATTGTCGTTCACGAGAAACTAAATTAAAGGAATTCAATTTGCAGACATAAAATAGTCTAAAAATGATTGCATCCCACTTAGGTTTGTCAGCTTAATTTAAAGAGCAGTCATCAGAAAAAGGGTTCAAATGTTTCATCAAGGAAGTACAGAGATTCCGGAGATTTGTCATCATTTGACTGCTGCAGCGCAAAAAAGCCTCTTATTTCTACCTTTTCACAGTTATCACAACAAAACATCATGGATCAAGTGATACTCTCCAATGATAAAATTTAGTCTGCTGAGAATTTCAAGTATGAACTCAATCACATTTCTAGTAGTGGTGCTTCTCCATAAATATGCATACATGAATATGATGTAGGAACCTTTTCAAGTATTGCAACTTACAGTTCTGATAGGCATGACTGGACCAGAGAGCTGAGTGGCCATCTTCAGTTCCTCCTCCTGAAATAATTACATGCCATTTATTTATTAAGAAAACAGACAAGTTTACATTATCAATTAACTTGGTAATAAACTTACTGAGCAAATTTATGATAGAAATTTTAAATCGAACACTAGTTGGCTATTTRTGACTGTCATCATACACAACGTAGCAAACTGAAGACATCGCTACAAATCTTTAAGTGAATGCAACTAATCTAGACAGTGATTTAAAGTAGCGATTGTAACAGTCCAAATATGTGTGTAACAAAAAAAAGCTAAAACACTAAGATTAAATCACTTTAATTTAACTAATTAAACACTATTAATCTTGTAAATTTAACACACATTAAAAGGGTACTTCATTAGTAAAATTAATTGCATAAAATTACATTTATTTACCCCCCACCCACCAACAGAAATTATAGATTTGACCAACAAGCAACCCCACAAACTAAAATCTGCAAAGCAACTGCTACACWACTTGGATGTAAAAGAAAAAAAACTTACAGAGCTGTCTCCCTTCTTGGGTGCAGATGCCTTTCTAGGGAACAGGATGAGCTTGGAGCGGTACTCCTTCAGACGCTGCACGTTGGCCTGAAGAGATTCTGTGGATCTGTTGCGGCGGCGAGAGTCAACTGCGATGCCAATAGTTCGGGCAGTCTTTTTATGGATTCCAGCAGCCTGCAGGAGAGAAACGTTTAAGCTAGTCACTCAGGTGAAAGGGATTTATACAGATTCCAGAGTCATCAGGCTGAGATGTGACACACCTTCATTCAACTTCTGATTGAGACTGGTTGTCATGACTGATACGCTGGTCCAGGTACTAATATGTCATTCTGTAATATATACTGGACAGAGCAACACTTGGAACAAAACTTATGAAACACTGGCAGCCAATTACTAAATTTAAAAATCTGAACCAGGTTTTGACTGGCTGAAGTGTTTTAATATTAATAATTGTCACTGATTTTGATATAAACTTTATCAGGCTCCTGTAATGTCAAACCAACAAATTTGACACCAGAACATAGCTGCACATATAGTAATGACTTGTAATTTTGTATATTCAAACTACTAACTGGAACTGAAAAAAAGAGAGGAATAAATGCACATTAATTTAAAATAACCCACAAAGTCCCATTTCAGCCAATGTCTCATTAATAAAAACAAACCAAGAGGTCCCCACAGTCTGGGGTGAAACCCATTAGCTTTTCCTTCCACAGCATGACAAGTACACAAGAGAAAAGATGAGGTACATGTTGGCAGGAGCACCTAGTCTGAGCAGCACTTCATGTTCCTTTCCAGCTATTGAGTTTTTTTGAATGGGGGGTTGTGTGATTCATCAGTTTTTCTCCTCTTTTACCATTTTCCATCCACAGAAATTTTTTTGAATGGGGGGTTGTGTGATTCATCAGTTTTTCTCCTCTTTTACCATTTTCCATCCACAGAAATAGTCAACAGCACTTGTGGCGTGAAGATAAAAACAAGCCTTAGATTATAGTGTGTCTGTCATCCCAGCGTACAAATGGGTTTTTATTAAAATCAGAACACAAACCACCTACCAGTAATAAACACGTGGGGGCGGGGTCCCCATGCAAAAATAGGCTTTTTAAAAAATAAAATACTGCAAATTTTTCATTAAAACAAAACAAACATTCTCACCATTACATTCCCACTAACACACACAC